TAGCCCATATATAACGGCATCTCGTATGCGTATGCAGGTCCACATCTTCATATAGCCCCCATATAACGATTCCTCCTGATATTCCCTGTATTTGGTATTTTGATGATATTAGCAGCATAATTCATCGGAATCGTTTGGAGTTTGATGATATTAGAGCATTTTTGTTAATGGAATTGTTTCCCATTTCGTATTTAAAGTTCGTAATGGGTACTGCAGCCTATGACACATCTTAATATAGACCCATATATAATGGTTTTCCTTTGAGCTGTTCTTTTTTTGTTTGGAAAATTTTCAAGTTTTTTCAAAATGGTGGAGGGCATTAAAAGTATGGCCCGGCCGAAGAAGAAGAAGTAATTTTTACTTCTTTTTTTCTTCAGAAACTCACAACGAAACGTATCCAGAATATTTCTTCATTTCACACTTTTCAGATGCTGCTCGAAAATACCTTTGCCAAATTTTATCGAGATCGTTGCAGATTTTTATGTAGCTTCCATTTATAGAGTGAGATAAAAAAAACTGCAACAAAGTCAAACGCCATAATTTTTACATTTTTTTTTTAAATTTTATTGAATGAAAGTAAAAAATGTCGGAAATAGAATCAAATTTTAGAATAAGTTTAGATTTGTTCGAATTGGTCACCTTTGGCACGAATTATGGCCTTCAAAGGTCAATGAAACCGTCACACGCTGCCCGAATGTTGCTCTGCGGTATTTTGGCCCATTCCCGGCGACGCGCTTACTTGAAATGATCGACACAACCTTGCTTTCCAAAATAATCCAGATACAATAGTTCAACGGATTGGTATCCGGAGATTTTGGTGGCCATTTTGCGCTGAAAATGAAGCGAGCAACCTCATTTTGTAACCATTCTTGGGTCGCGCGTGATGAGTGCGATGGCGCTGAGTCCAGTTGCAATGTCCGAGGTTTGCGTCCAAAATGTTTGCGTACCCAAGGCTTTAATAAACCCTCCAGAGTATTTCTGGTGGCCAACAGAAGGTGCACATTTTCAGCTGAGCTCTTTGGAAAATAAACACGATCATTTTGTTTACAAACTGCTGGACAACGAATGTTTTTTCTTCGGAGAAAACCAAATTCAGCAGTTCACCTCTTTCGACCAAGCGAAGTAACTCTTTAGCTCTTTTGAGTCCACTTTTTTCTGTTGCGGTGTAAGTTCTTGCACATTTTGGAACTTCAATGGCTTTACCCCGAGCTCATTTTTCAATATTTGCCGAATGGAATATTGCGATATGTGCAGCTCACGAGTCATTTTTCGGCCACTGCGACGCGGATTTCGATAAAGTCGCTTCTTTACTTTTCGAACCACTTCTGCTGATGTTGCTGTTTTCTTTCGTCCACTTCCTTGACGTCGGGCTACGGTACCTGTATCACGGTAACGAGCGATGGTACGAGATACAAAAGATTTATTCACATTTAAATGCGGGAGTGCTCTAACGATAGCCACTTGTCACGCTTGAATTCCATCACGAATAACTTTTTTCTGGAAAATACTTTTGTTCGCTTGTAAACAATATAATGAGCTGTCACTGGAATAATTTTAACAGCTGTCGGACGAGTGGGTTTGAAATGAAAGCAATCTGAAGTTGGTTGCAGTTTGTCATCACACACAGTATATATCTTTATCCGATTTCAGGTTTTTGTGCACAAATTGCTAATATCAGCCCAGATTGAATTTTAGCACTTCCGACGGAATTCAGCCTAAAAGCAAGTGCTTAACATTTTTGTGAAAATCGATTCAGATATAGCATTTTCAGATTAAATGAAACATTTTGCAATTCAAATGAAACTTTTTGCAGCGGAAATGAAACTTTTTGCAGTGGAATTGAAACCTTTTGCAGTGGAAATGAAACCTTTTGCAGTGGAAATGAAACCTTTGCAGCGGGAATGAAACCTTTTGCAACCGAAATGAAACCTTTGAACCGAAATGAAACTTTTTGCAAATCAAATGAAACTTTTAGATTTTTAGAAGGAAAAATAACAAAACATTTTTATTTTGAGTAGGTTTAAAATTAAATCAACTAACTATAACTAATATATAGTTAAAGAGGAATTTTTATTGATTATTAATATCTATGTTTTTATAAATTTTTTTCTTAAAGCTTCCATAAAACACAAGTGTAGATGCAGAAAGATTGAAAAAAGTTTTTCAAGGTATTTTTTTCAAAGGACCCGAATTAGATACCTTTTTATAATCTCTTCCATGGAAAGGAGGATATATTAAATTTGTCATTCGTTTTGTAACACTTCTAAATATTCGTCGTAGACCCCATAAAGTATATACAATCATGATCATAGTTGATTTAATGATTTCCACTTATCTGTCTATTGAAATCACGACTGCTCTATCTCCATAATCAATAAAGCTGCGAAGCGGGAATCCTTTATTATGTAAGATTAATAGTAGACTATAACTATAAAAAATTGTGGTAAAGCTTAATTTTACATTTCAGTCCTGGCCATACCTATAAAGGCCAAAATTTCTTTAAATTTCTCTTTTTAGCTTTAAGAACTTAATAATATGGAAGCATTTTATATCAAATCAATAAAGAACCATTTGTTATTACAATAATTGAAAATTTAAGAAATAATATAAATAAATGTAGATATTTATAATGAATAAAAAATCCTCTTTGTCAATATATTAGTTATAGTTAATTGATTTAATTTAAAAACTACTAAAAATAAAAATGTTTTGTTATTTTTTCTTCTTTAAATTTAAAAGTTTCATTTGATTTGCAAAAAGTTTCATTTCGGTTGCAAAAGGTTTCATTTAATCTGAAAATGCTATATAGCTCCCATATATATGTTTTATTTGATTTGGTGTAAAAGTCCCTCACATGCGTAATATGCACTCCACAACAATGACATTTGATACTTGGCATCCGATACTGCTCGAAAATACCTCTGCCGAATTTTATCGAGATCGTTTCAGATTTTTTACGTAGCTTCCATATACATATTCATCCAATATTACGGTTATTGCTCCTCATATATCAGCCTAAATTGAATAGATTTTTTCATATTCAACCGAATTTTATCACATAGTGAAACTCGGTCCCGTATATCTGTTGCTCCAATAAATATTTTTTATGATAAACAGCAATGTTATTTGGTTCATAGTTGGTATGATCTACTTTACATAAATTCGCATAAATACGCATAGTGGTGTAGAGTATCATATAGTATGTTCCGCCCGACTTTTGACCTTTTCTTAATAGTTTCTACTTCTAGGAGTGCCGCTGTTGAAATTGCGCGAGTTTCGCTTTGAGCTCGAATTCGATCGAGTTTTTTGGACTTCAAATTTAAGCCACATTTTCTTAAGGAATTGATTCTATAAGGTTACCGTTACTGTTATTTATAAAAGTTCTCTTTACCTCATGTCTAAGGGTATAAAATGTTCAGCCCGGCCAACTTAACGTTCTAAAAATTTCGGATTTGTTTTAGAGAAATCTTGTTGAGGACGTTCTATTCAAATATTGTCAAATGAGCAGCACATGATCAATTTTACAAACTTATTCTTCACTTATTCAAAATCAAATAAAATTTCAGATGACTGAAAGAAGTTCCATAATTGCCTGCGATTTTTAAATTTGTCCGTTTTCTGTTGTAAAGATTCTTCAATTACTTGTGATTTATTTCAACATTATAAAATTCATAAACTTTAAAAATCACCTCAAGGTTACCGGGTGCAAAGAAAACCTTGAGAAAGCGAATTTTCTTTTATATCCAACAGTGAAAATAAATTTGCTATATAAATTAGTAATTTGACCCTATCTCAGTGGGGGGAATAATTTTTGCATAGAAAAAAGTGACTAATTTTTGTGTTTCGCACAACCATTGTTGTTGGCCAGTGATGGACACAAAGAAACAGGTCATATTTTTGCATCCCCACAAACAAACCTAAAATTTCGTTATTTTTCTCGGCAACGGCACAAGCTTTTAAAAAGACGTTGCTCTAAAGTTACAACATTTTCAATACAGATGATTCATCTCCACACACACACAAAATATGTGTTGTGACACTGCAGGTATGGCTCATAAACATGAATTCCGAAAATAATTTTGAAATGTTTTCTTGTTAAAAACAAGACATTGAAAGTCCGTTTGCAAAAATGCAGTTTTTGCATAATGGCTGTTCGTTGCTTAAGTCTTTTGTTTTGTTCTCTACGACGCTGCATAAAAATTTCGAATTGTTGCTTTTCGTTGCTTCTTTCCGTTTATTAGTTTTATTAGCAATTTCCATTCTTGAAAACTTTCATTTTATATTGTGTGCATAGTTAACGATTACTTCCAATTATTTTTAACTTTCTGTTCGGGTAGAATTATTTTAATGGCAGTATTATTACCTCTTTTTGGTTGAGTCGAGTGCTTGCCTAAAGAAAGTTTATTTAAAAATCATTCAGTTTATGGGGCGTATAGAAGTTTTGAAATATTTCCCCAATATTGCACAAGGCAAAGATGGACTATTGCTCTAAATAGTTTAGGAAATATTTCCGGAAAATATCTTAATTTTAGTAAAGCTTATCTCAAAACGAAAAAAAAAAACAATAACTTCTTTGACGTCTTCAACACATTCATTGAATATTGAATAAAGCTCTTGTGAACAGAGACCGTCAATGTATTGTAAAGCAACTTCATTATGATGTTTCATTGTGGAGCGCCACACCAATCAGTAGCTAGGCAGAAGTTGCTACAACAAAACTGCAGGTTGGAGCGTTGATGGCAGAGCTCAAACCATTAAACATAATGCTGCTGGCTGCAAAAATGCGGTATGGAATGACACCACATCATCATCATCATCGCCGTGGCTGAAAAGCAAAGACAAGCTAAAAGCCATATTGCTGTTAATGCTCCTCACACTTACACACACACATAGACATACTCTATGTGAACAAATAAAACGTAATACAAACATAAAAAAGTGGTTGTGCTTTCTTTTTAGTAAAACCACAGACAAAACACATTTCTTCTGCTCGCAACTTACAAGTTTCATTCAGTACGCGACCATACGACAATACGGTCGTCTTTGACGGGATTAACCAATCGAATTTTCTAAAGAAAAATATTAATAAAAAACAAAAAAAAAAAAAAAAAACATGTTAAATAAAAACTAAAAAAAAAAACACGAAAGAAGAAATCCACAGAAGATATCTCAAAAAGGAAATTTCATTTATTAATGAAAAAATCAGTGGCAAGAAAATAATTCAATCTCACCCAAAGTGCTAAGGCAGAGAACAAGAAGATAATCTGCAGTGCTTCTGCTGTTGAAAACTAATTGAATTTTAAACGAAGTTTTAAGCTAAGAATAGAAGCAAACAACGCATTGCATCTTGTGGTGCTCGTGTGGAAAAAAAGCAACAAAACAACGGTAATTAAATATCTAACAACTAGATTGGATTTGTGGCAAAAGTGTTATAATGTTAGCTTGATGATAGAAGTAAAAGAAATTTTTTACTTTTGGTGTTAAACAATAAAGAAAAGCTTGGATTATATATCAACATCTTTAAGAAATAATCAGATAAAAGGTAAATTAAAAAAAAAAACAGAAACAATTGTTTATTACTTTAAATTTTAATTATTTGTCAAATGTGTGTCATCAAGTTTGTTGCTTGAGTCTTTTGATTTGATCAAGTACCAATTGACAACATCAACAATGGTGATGACATCGGATATATTTCTTACATAAGATTCATGCCATGGATCTCAATCTAGTACGGGTCAAAATATATATAATCTTTGGATGAGATTATGGTTTATTTCAATATGAAATAACGCCGAAATAAAAAAGCGAAATCAGGCTTAAATATTAGCTTGTTTTACAAAGTATTTTTTCTTTGCAAAAAACAACCGTAAATAATATGAAGAAAATACAATAAATCCTTCAAATTTTTTTATTTAACGTTGAATATGTATATTTTTTTAAACAACGTTATTTAACATATATTTTTAAGGAGTCTTATTTTGGCAGCAAAAGAAGACCTGCCCTACCTTACTGTATTATAAACAAACTTTTTCATGAAGAAGTTATTTTCTACCGACTTTAAAATTCAATCAAATAAAAACAAGAAAAAAGCAGTTAGTTCGGCCGGACCGAACTTTGAATACCCTCTACCATTCTGATCGAAATTGGAAATTTTTCAAAAAAAAAATCCGATAAAAATCTGTCAAAATCTTAAAAATATCAATTATAGCATTGGTATTGGGATCTATACGAAGACGTGGACCTGCATAGGCATCTTTTGTCATAGGTCGTTAGAATATTCAAATACGAAACTTGAAAAAATTCAGTAAATTATGTAGCTAAAATCATCAAAATAACGCATTTTGGAAGGTACCGATATATGGGGGCTACATGAAGACGTGGACGTGCATAGACAATTTTTTTTGTCGCAAGCTGCAGTACCCGTTAGGAACTTCAAATACGAAATTTGAAACAATTTCGGTGAATATTGTAAAATACCAAGGTACCGTTGTATGGGAACTACACGAAGACATTTTTTTGTCATAGGCTGTAGTACCCGTTAGGAACGAAATATAAAATAATTCCAGTCAAAAATGTCACTAAAATTATCAAAATACGGAATATAGGGAGGTACCGCTGTAGGGAGTAATCGATATCGTGGACTTATATTGACAATTCTCTTCCTGTGTGGATTTTCAGACAATAACATTAAAAAAATCAATAACATACAATTATCAATCTTATGATATCGTGAACCGATATAACCCATCATCGAACTTGACCCGTCTGCAGACAAATGACTAATCTGTGCAAAATTTTAGCTTTCTATCTTTATTCGTTTTGACACAAGCGTGATTACAACAGACGGACGACAGGTCTAAATCGTCTTAGAATTTTATTCTGATGAAGAATATATATACTTTGCTAGGTCAACATATATTATTTCGATGAGTTACAAACGGAATGACGAACTTAATATACCCTCCATGCTGTGTATGGTGGAGGATATAAAAATTAACCGTTTGAATGCCACAAACAATGGTATTTTTTTATTTGTTTGGAAAATTTGGATAGAATCGGAAAGTTGTTTTGCATTTTTTGAGGCTTATTGTATACACTCGAACTAAGTTTGATATATACACAACGATTTGCGAAGTTTGGATTACATCGTACACACTGTTCACTTTAAATATGTCCGATTTGTAAGAGTTGGCTCACATATTCCAACCTTACACTGTGTTTGAGATGTCCGAATTTTGATAAAAATTAGATCATATCATATCTTAGACGCAAAATTGTAATTAATTTTCTTCTTTGTTTGTGTCTCTCTATTGCGTTTCATCCTTTACTTTCTTTCTTTAAATATTTTTGAATAAAATTATTCGAAGATTTAAACGTAGGTTTAAACTATCAAACAATGTTTTGATTTCTTTTTTCAATCGTGGAATTCATCAATCCTGATTACGTTTAAAAAATTTAAAAGTTAAAAAAGGCATCTTAAGTTTTAAAAAATAACTTTCTTTTTTATACCCTCCATCATAGTATGGAGGGTATATTAAGTTTGTCATTCCGTTTGTAACACCCCGAAATATACATTTTGAACACCACAAAGTAAATATATTCTTGATCAGCATAAAATTATGTGTCGATTTAGCGATGTCCGTCCGTCAGTCCGTCTGTGGAAATCACTCTAGCTTCCGAACGAAATAAAGTAGGTTCATAAAATTTTACTTATATGTTTATTATGTATGCAGGACTTTTGGTATTGAAAATGGGCTATGTAGGTCAACCCCTTCGTATAGCCCCCATATAACGATACCTCCCTACTTTCTAATATTTTGGAGATTTTAGCGAAATTATTCACCGGAATTGTTTCAAATGTGGTATTTGAAGTTTGTAATGGATACTACAGCCTATGACAGAAAATTGTATGTGCAGGCCCACGTCTTCGTATAGCCCCTATATAACGGTACCTCCCGATATTCGGTATTTTGATGATTTTAGCGACATTATTCATCGGAATTGTTTCAAATTTGGTATTTTAAGTTCGTAATGGATACTACAGCCTATGACAGAAAATTGTCTGTGCAGGTCCACGTTTTGGTATAGAACCATATAATGGTAACTCCCTATATACGGTATTATGATGATTTTATTAAGTTTCGCATTAGAATATTGTACTGACTTGTGACAAAAGTTGCCTATGCAGGTCTACGTCGTTGTATGTATAGACCCTAATATAATAGCTACATTCGGTATTTTTAAGATTTTAACGGATTTTTTAACTGATATTATTTTTTTGAAAATTGCCAAATTCGTTCCAAATTGAGGAGGGTTTTCAAAGTCCGGTCCGGTCGAACTTACCGCTTTTTACTTGTTATCTATTTAATCATTTTACATTTGCTCTTCAATTTAATCAAACAATTGTTAATGAATGCGTTTCAAAAAAAAAAAAAAAAAAAATTGAGTTCATTGTAATACATTGGTTCGTAAAATGTATTCTCTTTATTATATCGTTGTAGTGGTATAACTTATAAAATAGTTCACAATACAGCCCACAGCTATGGAATTTTGAAATAATAATTATTTTCAAAGGGTTAAATGTGTGTCTTTTGGTCACCCAAATGTCTTAAATTACAGACAAATTTTTGGAACAGAAAATAAGTCATTAATTATAATTCACATGTGCCTTTAAGCTATCAATCCGTATACAAATGAAATATCATTTCCACCATTTTTTTGTATTACAGATACAAAGACTGATAACGGTGTAAAGCAAATTAAGTAAACGGAAATGTCGAGAAGACATTAACACAATGTTATAATGATTAAGCAATTATAATGGCGTAAATGCAAGTAACATTCACTGTCGGTATTGTGAATATAAAATCCATGAAAGCATGTCAAATATTTATGTCATCATCATAACTTTACACCGAGAATAAGATACAAAATTGATTTGATTTTACAGGTAATATTCTGTAAAACTCAAAATAAACCGCAGTAAAAGAAAACACAGTTCCTTTATATAGCCACTGTTATGTATGAAAGTCTTCTCATAAATCATAAAAAAGTGTGTAAAAGAAAATTCAAGCAAAATATTGTAACAACAAACGTTGAAATAAAACTCACATTTTATAACAGTTTTAAGTGCAGATGTTCTCATTTTCAAATGAAAGAAAAACAACAAACATTTCTAAAGAAATGTTACAATTTAACATGTTGTGGAAAAAGGCTGAACATAATCACATAAACACTAATGTTTTGTTGGAAAAATATGTCAGAGTTGGGAAATAGTCGTTTTTGTTTTTTTCTTTAAATGACCGAGAGAATAAAAGTGTAACAGGTGCTTAAATATACACACTCAGAACATTAAAGTAAAGAGCATTAAATAATAACAACAATTAACAGCCATTGTGTCGCATAACTAGAATATTATTTCAGAAGACCTATTGTTGTTATTCAAAATTACAATTTTCTGTATGTAGAGTTTTGAAAATTGGCGAAAACGTTTATATCATCTCAGACATGATATAAACTTGCTTCTGCTCAAGATTTTTTTGGAATTTAGATCGTGTTAGCCATAATTTCCAACTGAAGCAGTAGTGATTTCGAATTATAAAAATTTAATTATCTCTTCATAAAAATGCTTTATTTTGATTTAAGCTATAAAAAATCAACCTACAAAAATGTTTAATATATAGGGTGAGATTTTTTTTTTAATTTTTTTGTATGACATCAAAAAATGTCGGAAATAGCATCAAATTTTAGAATAAGCTAAATTTTGTTAGAATTGGTCACCTTTGGCACGAATTATGCCCTTCAAACGGCCAATGATATGTGATATTGCTCTGCGGTATTTTGGCCAATTCCCGGCGAAGCGCTTGCTTGGGGTGATCGACAGTTTGGTATTTTTCAGTGCCTCCAGACACTATAGTCAAACGGATTGGTATCCGGAGATTTTGCTGGCCATTGTACGCTGGAAAGAAAGCGAGGAACCTCATTTTGTAACCATTCATGGGTGGCGCATGCTGAGTACGTTGGTGCTGAGTCCTGTTGGAATGTCCAAGGCTTGCGCAGAAAATGTTTGCGTGCGCAAAGCTTTAATACACCCTCCAGAATATTTTCAAAATCACACTATCGCGCTTGAATTCCACCACGAATAACTTTTTTTCTGTAAAATTCTCACCGGAATGCTTTCGTGCGCTTGTAAACAATATAATGAGCTGTCTCTGCAATAATTTTAACAGCTGTCGGACGAGTGGCTTAGAAATGACAGCAGTCTGAAGTTGGTTGCAGTTTTTTCATCTCACCCTGTATAAGCCTCGAAAAATGCAAAACAATTTCCCGATTCTGTTTAAATTTTCCAAAGCTCAATATTGTTTCTGGCCTTCACCCACAAACGATTAATTTGTATATCCTCCACCATACATAGTATGGAAGGTAAATTAAGTTCGTCATTTCGTTTGTAACTCATCGAAATAATATTTTTTTCATGATCAGCGTAAAATTCTAAGACGATTTAGCCCTGCCCGCCCGTCCGTCTGTCTGAAATCACTCTAA